GTATGTTCCACATTATATATAAAACATAGGACTAATGTCAGTGTAATCTTATTTCTCCATTTGCACACACACCCCTCTGCTCAGCTGTAACAGCTGCACAGTTCCATAGTCTAATATAACTTAGTAGTATTTGCTGTAAGCACTGTGGGAAATTTGCAGCATATTTCACCGAGATGTTTTCTTCTTCTGAAGAAAGCCCTGATGAATTTTACCTTACCTGTGCAATAACAACTCTGTAAATGTACCAGCTGAGCTGGCAGGATGGGGTCTCAGAAGAAAAGACACAGTTGCAGTTGCAGTTAGGAAAGATACGAAAATATGGTCTCTCCTCCACCCACCCACACTTTCTATTGCAAAGTTTGAAATTTCTAGTAAAATTTCTAGAAGTACAAAGAATCAACGAGGAGAACAACTACAAGTTGCCCCAAATCCACTCCTTTCTTGTTAACTGGCACTTAAGGTTTCAGTAAGTCATTGAAACTGATACATTTATATTAGAAAGAATTTTTAAAAAATTCTTGTCTTATACTTTTTGAAATTACAGACTCGTATATGCTGCTTACTTTAATGCACTTGTACTTATCAACCAGGTGAAGAGATCAACAGCAAACAAACAACGGCCATCAACAAACTAAAGAAAGGGAAGAAGCACTTAGCAGAGAGGTGGGGTGCCATGTGAAATCAAAGGCTGGCGAGAACAGTCGATTAGTGCTGGATAGACAGACAATCACCCCAGCCCAAAAAAAGTCTGTCCCCACCACACAGAGGCAGCATGCGTGGTTACAAATAAAACTCAAGCTCTTTCCCAAAAAATATTTTGACTACCTTCCCTTCCAGCTCCATATGCATATTAGATTGTCAGGAGAAATCCTGGTCCTGTGATTATAATGTGTGATCCACACATTACAACGACAAAGGGTAAAAAGGCTCCATGATGTGACTGCAAGTACACTGTGGCTATTGCTGTATGGCAGCCTATTGGGAAAAATATGTGGTAACATGAAGAGAATTTCCAGATTCCTGCAATGCAAAAGTGTAGTTCAACTTAGAGAGAGACGGGGGGGGTGGGGTGGGATGTACAAAGCGCAATTGAAAGCAACCTGTGGACCAGACCTTAACTGCGATTTAATAGATGGACTGGAAGGCAGGCCTGGGGCTAACCTGTTTTTCATGTTCCTCTTGCTTTAAATGTTGTACACAGAGCTGTAGTATCACAGAGAGGAACAAGATGAGGGGGGATCATTAGGCGTAGTAATAAGAAGGGTGTTGTACAGCAGGTTGGGAGAGAGGCATTGCAGTTTCATACAAAGCAATCAAGTAATCAAGCCAGACTGCTTTAGAAAAACCACTTCTGAACAAGTGTCTTGCCAGCTGTGCAAGAGAAAGGTAATAGGCTTATGTTATTTAAGCACACCAAATAACAATGAAATTGTTATTTCTGTAGCTGACTGTTTCCTCTTAACAATAGGCCCCCATTGCTACATAAACACAAAATTCCTGCCTGGCTGTGTATTTTCCAAGCAAGAAGACGATATCTTCCAGCATCTGTGGTGGCTTTAAAACACTCTTATTAAGGCAGTGGGTGCAGGGAGATAAGTCATTAGTCACAGGGATGTACTTGACCTTCTGTATCCTGATTGGCTTAAAGAGTTTCCAACCAGTCGGCCTATAATCACACGGAGCACTTTGGCGAAGGGGTATTGAATCACTGTCAGTGACTGAAGAGCTTTATAAGCAAATAATGACCAGATGACTCCCTGAAAAATCTGCCCGGAACTCCTTTAATCTGTGATGAGCTTCATGCAGTTTCTAAAAGCTCAGGGTGGAGACCGTGCATAGATATTCTCTGCTGGCAACGCAGCTTCATGGAACATCATATGGCGTGATAGACACATTTGTACTGGCATGGGGTATGAACGCCAGGAGAGTGTGAGATATTAATTCCACTAATTTGAAAATATTGCTCCAAAATGACAGGCCCAGACCCTTCGAAATGTAAATAAAATACCTACCAAATTTAGTGCTGGCCCTGCTGAAAGCTTGCTATGTTGCCCAAACCTTCTTGGGAGTGGTTCAGCATAAAAACATAAAAAGAGCCCCACTTCCTCAGGCCAAAGTCCTACTTCTTCAACCACCCTGTTTTGCATAGTGGCCAAGCAGAGGCATTCCACAAGCCACATATGAGGGCAAAAGTCTCCTCCCCTAATGGATAGTATTTATATGCATGTGGTCCCTTGGCCTGGCTGTATTAGATAACTATCAGCTACTAGCAACTGCAGTTTTATCCTAAATCCTAAACCCAGCAACAGTGCCAGGGTAATAGCAGTGATTGAGCCACATGAAGGTCTTTCTAGAACAGCGGTTCCCAACCTTGGGTTCTTAAATGTTCTTGGACTAAAATTCCCAGAAGCCTTCAGCACTAGCTGTGCTTGTTGTGCCAAACGTGGAAGTAGCCTGGTCAGCGCTTCCCTGCCTCCCTGTGCAGTCAGCCACTCTGGTGAGGAGGCATGATGGCGAGTCTCCTTGCTCGGCTGTTAAATGGTGGGATGTGAGAGGAGGTGCCAGCTGGTTTACTTCTGCATTTGGCACAATGAGAACAATGCTGTCCATACACAGCACACGGCAACTGGTAATTGGACCTGCTGATTTGGGGTGGAGAGACTGGACTTCCCAGGCACTTGTGCTAATATTCATATTTGTATCCCCAGGAATACGAATTCAAATATCCCATGTCTTTTCAAAACCATGCATTAAATTGGGTCACATCATTCAGCATGGCCACCAGGTGGAGAGAGAACTGATCTGCTTCAGACTGTACATGGATTACCATGACCCCAACACTCAATTCCAGATGAGGTTTCTCCCCTATCCTTGTCCCAGTTGCCCACTTTTCGAGATGTAGAGACCAATATGATTCAGTAAAGCAAGATGATTGTCCAAAAACATGCTACAGTGGTGCCTCGCTTAACAACGATAATCCGTTTCAGGAAAATCACGGTTAAGCGAAAACACTGTAAAGTGAAAATAAAAACCCCATTGAAATGCATTGAAACCCGTTCAATGCGTTCCAGTGGGGTAAAACCTCACCGTCCAGCGATGATCCTCCATACGGAGGCCATTTTCGCTGTCTGTATAGCAAGGAATCTATCTCTAAACACAGTGGGGAGCCATTTTAATCACCCAGTGGCCATTTTGAAACCGCGAATCAGCTGTTAAAAAAACATTGTTTTGGGAAGAATCGGTTCCTGAAGCAGGGAACCGATCATCGCAAAGCGAAATTCCCCCATTTAGACCATCGTTTTGCGATCGCAATTGCGATCCCAAAAAGATTGTCGTAAAGTGGATTCGTCATAATGCGGGGCAATCATTAAGCAAGGCACCACTGTATCTGTTTAGGAGTTTTGTTTCTGTTTTTAATATATAACTGGTACTCTAGTGGTGGTGTGTTTATAGTTTGTCCTTTAACCAAATTCTTTCTTCTTAAGAGAAGTGACAAAGAGTGCTTTCAGGTAGATGGCTCCTTATTACAACAATCAGAAAATATTGTAAATCTGTTCTACTCTTTTCTTCCTAACAATTTTTTAGTGATAAGAAAAAAAGAGCAGTGGGAAAATGTGAGAGGATAGCAAGTGTAATAATAAAACTGAGGCTGTCCTACTTTGAGCGCATAATGAGAAGGCAAGATTATCTAGAAAAGACATTAATGCTAGGAAGAGATGGAGGCAACAGGAAAAGCAGAAGACAAAATATGAGATGGATTGACCCCATTTAGTAAGCTCAAAACCACAGCCTTGAGTTTACAAGAGCTGAACAGGGCTGTTGAGGACAAAGCATCTTGGAGTTCACCATAAGTTGGGATCGAGTTGTCAGCACATAACAACAACGACAAATCCAGTTGCTAGTCCAAACTGGAACAGAATCATTTCATTAATGGGAATTACATAAGTGTTGATTTATAAGTCTGTTCTACAATGGGACTTATAACTAGATTTATCCCAAAATCCTTATAATGTCAGAACACAACAGGGGTGAAAGCATACATTACAGATAATCTGTCATTGGAAGAAGGAATTCCTTTAGCGTTAAGAATGTCTAATTGTTACAACAGGAGCTTTTTATACCTCCCCTAGTTGCAAATTAGTGGTAAATTTGGAAATGTAGATGCTCGCTAAACAATTCCCATAGTCACCCCACCCCATAAAGAGAGTCCAAACATCCAGGCATCTGGATTGGTTGCAGATCAGTCTTAAGGAGAATTCCTTTGTACAGTTAATGGCTATAAAACTAAATTGTCCATTCAAGACCAAACCTTCTCAAAGGGTGTGCTTTGCAAAAGGGATAGCTTGGAATAATGTGCTGTTCCTGGGAAGATTCCTAACCAGGAGATAAGCACAGGCTTTGTTTGCAAGCGTGATTGCTCCAGCACTAAATTCTGCCTGAATAATGTCTCTGGAACATCAATGAATTTCTGCTTCTAATGATAGACTATTTGTAATATTAAGTCTGACCCAAGAATTTAAAGTGATTCAGAAATACCAAGGAAGGAGGGAAGGTAGGTGTAATTCACCAAATATGTGGAACAGTAAGAGACTACCGTTTGTTGGTTGGTTATGTTTTAACATAATCAACAATTCATGAGTGCACAACATCATAAACAATGCATACAGCAAAACAACTTGGTGGTGTATAGAGCCAGGAAATTATTAAGGACACTAATGTGATGTGATTATCTGAATAGTGGGCTCATGACTTTTGAAGACAATAAGGCTTACTATAGGTATTGTAAGTCCCTTGTTTAATCAGTTTGTTTTCAACTGTTTCCAGCTGTCCATTCCAACATATTGATAGAAATCTGGACACATTTGATAAGAAAAAGAAATGTTTTTTGAGTCCATGCAGTTTCAGGTTGGGAGACCCTTCAGGTTTGTAATGGCTGTTTGCTGGATGTAGAAAGTGCATGTTGCTCACTGTTTTGTTTTGTTGTTTTTCTCACTCCTTAGAGAAAATATTACCCACAATCCCCAATCCTTTTCCAGGTCAGTATATGTTTTATGTCACAGTAGTTTTAGAGCTGGGTCATTCTCCATCAATTCAATAAGTAAGACGAACAAGGAAACAGAATACTCTTAGACAATTACAGGATCCAAAGCATTCAACTTTCATAATTAACCCATAATATAAAACCCACTGATCATGCCAGGGAGAAGGCAATTCAGCTGGCATGTAAAAAAAATTATTTTTTTTTTGCAGGAAAATTTTGAAGTGAGCCTTTTAAAAAAAAGTTATTCCCACCATGCATCCTTAGATGCTGTAATCCTGTGAAAGAATTCTGTTATATGTCTCCTCACAAAGCTAAGGTGAAGAAGCCACACACAATTTGATCAGTGATCTGAGTGCTGAAACATACGATAAGCAAGTACTTGCACCTTGTCAACAAAATGGCCATAAATGGGGAAGTGCAGTCCCGTGCTAGTCTGTAATGTGCAAGAGCACTCAATCCAAGGATCTCACTGCTCAAAATATCACTCCCTGGTGACTTCAAAAGCTTAGCAGTTCATTCAGGTTTGCACATGTGGAAGATATTCCTGGTTTTTAAAAGACTGAACAAAAAGCATTTGTGTATGCCTATAATCTCTCTTACCATAAGACAGAGTGGGCAACTTTGGCAGTACTTTCCTGCTCCCAGGACTTCATAGGAACTGCATAAGCTGGCACAGGTATCAAAAATGGTAACTCATGAAACCAGAAATGACAAGTCCACTTCTATTTTTGAAACATAGATATTTGGGGATATTAAACCATGCAGGGGGCCTAGTGGACTTTTTAAAAGATCAGTTGCCTGGAGTCTCTTGAGACCTCCAGTTTACCATTTCTGGAGGGGAAAAAACTAAGGAAGCTGTTCGAGTGCTACAAAAACACTGCTGGAAGACTGAATGCCTTCCATGCTGCACTTCCCTTCCCTAAAAGGACACCCAGGGACAGCTCATGCAGTTAAGCATACCAATAAAGGAACTACGCCCCTCGCCACACATGACATACCATTGATTTGGCCTACAGGAAAATCTTATTCTGAAAACGAGAAGGAAGGGAGGAGGAGGAGAAGCAATACTAGACCGCAGCAACCCCGATTATTACCCAGAAGGATTAGGATTACAACTTCTTACCAAGGGGGTATCATTCCACTTTTTAGCTAATTTTATAACTATAAATGTGATCCTGCAAGGGGGTATCATTCCACTTTTTAGCTAAATGTGATCCTCTGCTAGTGTACTCAGAATTTAAGTCCTATTGTGGTCAATTCGATTACTTGCACACAACAGTGCCCACTGCATATTCTTCCATAAAATAAGCTCCACCAAATACATGAATTATTTCTCAATAAATATGCCTAGGATTTCAGTACAAAAGTTTTGGGTTTGGTTTCTTTCCATATTAAGCTCTTTCGGTGCAATTTTCTCCTGAATCAGGTATCAGCTTCATTCTACTGATCTTTGTGGGACATCCCTCAAAGCAGGACAATCTATAAAATAAGAAAACAGTGGGTTTCAGTGGGAAAATAACGTTAGAAGAGTATTGTTAGAAAAATAAATCCAATTAAATGTGATAACTACACAAATAAGAAATTAACCATACACAGAAACAGGAATAACAATGTTGAAAGACTGCTTTGGGTTTAAGTTTTGCATCTTAAATTATTCAGATTTTGACTTTATTCAAGGAACAGCTTTACATTTAAATTCATAACTTCTATCATGTATTTTATTTAATTACATACAGAGATGTACATGTGTATGGAATATTTTGATCACTTTATTTGATAGCTTGCTTATACTTTAAAATTCTGTTACAATATGGCAGATGAACCCAAAGCAATTTTAAAAAGATAAATACATACAATTAAAAATTCAATAAAGACATTAAAACAGGGAAGAACACACTCTGCTTGTTTTCAGTTCATCAGCGATTGGTTGGCTTCATTTTGTGAACAACATGCTGGATGGGATAGGCCTTTGATGTGACCCAGCAAAACTCGTAAGCTCTTATGAGATAATCAGTAAGGCAATAAAATAGTAGCTATCAGACAACAATTCAGCACGGAAGCAAGGGTTAAATCAGTGCTAAATAAAGGTATAAAGAACATGCACGCCCATACTTGGGTTGATTATAGTATTTTGATCAAGGCACGGAATGGAGTACCCACACCACAATATGTGAGAACTGGGTTGTGGGGAGTTCTGTTTGGATTATTCATATATCTTTGCAAATCCCAGGCACACATGTGGTCTGGAAGCTTCACACGCCTAATCATATTAAATAGGTAAGGCGAAACCTGTGGAAATGGCAGCAACCACCATAACTGTTCACTTTTTTAAAAAAGTGCCCATTCCAGGCTCTGAACATCCCTCTCACCTGGTGAAGTGGGTTTTAGCCAGATTCTGGGCCCACTTATCCAGATTCTTCTCATGCCTACTCCCACAGTCATCTGACTCAGATGATGTCCCAGCCCTTCTTGCCTGCCCCACCTCTGTAACATCAGAATGATCTGCTTTCTGGGCTCAGATTTAGATCCTGAAATTGCACAAAATGTGAGAAAATCAGCTGGCAACCCTATATCGTGCCTGTCAAATGTCTTGCACTGATGGGGCAGAACCAAAGTCCCAGAAGCTAACAAAGCTCAGATGATTAACCAATTATATCTTAAATGTCTGGGTTCATTAAAGTTAATTCTGCTTAACAGACATTTCAGAGGGACTTTAGTCTGACTTAGTTTGCAATCCTAAACGTGCTTACCTAGGAGTAGGTTTTGGAAGCCCTGGTGCCTAGAATAGCATTTAAAAATGCTATGCTATGCTATGCTATACATACACTAGATGAAGTACATTTGCCTTCATATATTTGAAACTTTTAACTCCCTTGTCTTTTCTCAGCAGTCAGTCACATAAGCTATATCACGGCATACTTCCAGAACATCTAGGATTATTTCAGGGATTTCACTGAGCAAACCTACAATTTTAATATGTATGACCTCATTTCTCTGCCAAATGTTCCCAGAAGTTTCTTTGCCATGGGCAATTAGCACTGCCACTGGTGCTTTACTAACCACTCGTTCTACCTTTGCAATTCACCTTTGATAGAGCCTCAAGAAAAATATTATTGAATCTCCAAATTATGTAGACATGGCTTCTCTTCTCAGACAGAAATAAGACCCTTTGAAATGTTGATCATATCACCTCTGCTCTATAAGCCTCAGGAAAAATTGGTATTTTCTAACTGCTTGGGCATTACAAAGGCACATTTGTTAGTAAGTGGCTTGGATGTTAAAACCACTACATCATATTCATATTCTCCGAACATACTGTATTCTGAGATGATCTTGTCACCATTAGCTTGTTGGGATTGTGCAGTCATCAGGGGCAGTGGTGATTAGATGTGGTGTTCCAAAGATATTCAGAATGCTGCTGCCATCACATGTCTGGGATGCAGACAACTGTGGCTACAAGCATCCTCAATGGTGAGCCAGTTTTCAGACAAATAAGACTATCATGGTTTCTGAAACTTTAGACTTATGATATTTGCCAGAACCTTCATCTTCCTATTGAAAGCACTGTGGTTCAGATTATACAATAGTTTTCCGTGCTTCAGATTTCAGGTGTAAACCACAATCCTGGGAAAGTATCTTCCTAAAGATAGTACAGTCAATGGCCTCAGTGTGTTGGGTGAGTGCAGACAGAGTAACCAAAGCTTACAAAGACATGAATGAACGAGGATAAGGCCATGTGGTTCCCAAGATTACCACACATTCAAGAAGACACATTCAAAAGGCATTTAGTTCTTCACCCAGAAGTTCCTTATACAGTGGTCCCTCTACTTAAGGAATTAATCCGTATTGGAATGGTGGCTGCAAGTCGAAAAGTCTGTAGGTCGAATCTTCATTGACCTACAATGCATTGAAAACCGATTAATCCCATAACCAGCGGTTTTTATTCTATTTTTGTTCCATTTTGGTTTTTTTCTGGTCTGTAAGTCGATTCTCCGGCTGCAAGTCGAATCTAAATTTTGCAGCCAGGGAAGTCTGTAACTCGAAAAGTCTGTAAGTCGAGCCGTCTGTAAGTCGAGGGTCCACTGTAAGTGTAACCATGAAGTGAGTGGCTGTACTGAACCAAACTGTATCAGATTTTGCACTAATTTAACTTGTGGTCATCCAAGAGACAACCATCTTGCCATTACAATCCAAATCCATTTCCATGCATGATAAGGAAGACCTCTTTTCTGGTGACTTCTTGGAAACTCAGTCCCTCCTTAGCCAGACTCCTCAGCCTCCAAGGATTTTTGTCCTGTATTCTCTTCATGCCTAAAATTGAATTTTCTTTAGCCTTTTACCTGTTTCATTTTCAACAGAAGCAAGGCAGAGTAGTAACACTACAATGAATTCAACATGAGACAATCTGCCACTTTTTTCATATCCTTGAGTGAAATGAGTGGCTCCAGGTAACTGAGGTTGATTAGGGTACAGCAATAGGTTTTGATTATGACAAGCAGACACTGACTGGAGAATGGCCCTGCACTGACTGTAGATTGTAGCTAGTTTCCTTTTAGATGTAGTCACTTTAGCATCGACTAACACCTTTGTCTTGAGGATGGGAATGATGGTGGGCAATGGTGAGAGTGGGAGTGGGTACTTGGATCCAGTAGATAGGTGTGATCAGCTTTGTTTGTATAGATATGACTTTGTATTGTTAACAACGGTATCCGTTGCCCAGGAGTCCCTTTATATGTAAGATTATCTGCTCTATCCCAGCATGTTCTTCCTTTGTTATTTCCACAAATGAACTTCCCCAGTTGACTTGTGTTTCAATAACATTGGTATCTCTTTTTAGAGGCCTGGTAGAAATAACAACTGTGTCATCTTGTGCCAACCAATTTGAATCAAGGACACAGTTTTTACTAGTCTATCTCTTAGGACAGTCATGAGGGGATATCTGGCCTTGCAAATGTTAATTGGACTGTAATATCATGAATGGTGAGGGATGGCCAA